CAGAAGACAAAAGTATATTCTGAGAAACTGGAAGTTAATCCAACGGCTGCGAAAACTTTCTCTGTCTCTACCTCTTTCTCACTTTCTCCCCCCCTCTCTCCCCCCCCTCTCTCTCCCTCTCTCTCCCCCTCTCTCTGTACCCCTCTCTCTCCCTCTCTCTCCCTCTGTCTCCATCTGGAGCAGTTTTCCATTAACAGTGCCCAAATGAGCTTCTTAAAAAGAGTGGAACTCAAAACACAGTTTTGAAAATTACAGAATTCCTTCATAAATGCCCGTCCCTCCCCGCGGCTACGCTGGGTTCAGGCTTGAGGTGAGACTGCCATACTACAACTACAACGCACACACACACACACACACACACCAACGCACACACATGCGTGCCAAATCATCCAGAGGTGTGAGCGCATTACAAAATGCTGCATGATACACATGATTCTGCACACGATCACAGACTCACACCATGCGATGATGGAACACAAATACATGCCAACACAGAAATGCACGCGCACACACAGACAGACACACACACACACACAAGTGCACAGTAATAGACTTGTGGCTTACATCGCCCTCTTTCCTTCCCTCTGTTCAAACTTTAACCAGAGCCATTTCCTACAACAGCTGAGGCTGCCGCATAGCAACCGGTCAGACCGCCCTAGCAACAACAACAATATCTCTTAATGGAGCCCTTTATTACACAAAAGTCTTCTACACATTGTTGCTGTCGTGTTTGCACGCTGAAATAGTCACTTTTAATTCCGCTTTAAAGGGATGTTTCAAGATTAACGTCAAACAGCTTTTCTGCTGAAAGATATTTTGAAGTGTTTTTGCCGAGGGGACACGCGGGCACGGGACAGATTGCTTTTCAAAATCTTTGAACTGGCGGCTAAATTGGAGAAGGGCTGGTGATGCCGAATAAATGGCGCTGTTCTGCAGCTGCTGTTCAATTTCCCTGGTGTGTGTCCACGTGAGCATCACGGCTAATGAACGGGAATCACACTCCTGCGTGTAAAAGTGTTAAACTTCCCAAATCCAACAGCAGCCGTCACTGCAGACAGGAAATAAATAAATACTGTGTCCCTCCAGGTTACATGTAAGCCGCTGAGCCAGAAAGCAAGCATCAGACACCGAACAACACCAACCCGCCGGCGCTTCACACGTGCACGCCATTCGGCTTCGCTAACCACCAGTAATTTGATGTTTTGCTTCGAGGGAAATTGGTGCACTTTGGCCGTGATTGTTTCTAATTATGACCTTTTGAAAACAAAGCGTGCAGATTGAATGTGACATTTTGCTGCGTCTGCAGCCTATAAAAAGGCCTCACTGGCCGAATCCCAGTTAATCCTAATAATGAAAAGATCCACTGTACCAACTAGCGCTTTAACTCAACTAGAAACGCTTCATTCACAAGTTTCTGACGGCCAGGACGAAGCAATAATACCTTCACTTCAACACAGTGTCCCGTTAATACGGACAAAAGGACCAGGAAGACCAGGAAGACCATGAAGACCATGAAGACCATGAGATACAGTCGAAAGCTTATAACCAATGCACATGTTTCAGTATAAAGTGTTCTCATGAAGGCCTTCTAAATACAGTGTACCTGTCTCACAATGGAAACTCTAACTTAATTCAAAATGCACAACTACCAAGATTCAAGAGTAAATGTGACATTAATAAAAATAATGTTTCCGTGTGCAAAGTCACGTTCCCCCTTCTTTCCCTCCCTCCCTTTCTCCGTCTATCCTTAACTCTCACACACACGCACACACACAGTCTTTACCAGGAAATAGTCCCGGCCTATTGCCTGTCACAGTGCATGGATCTCAATGGAGCATAGTCAACCATATTCCCACCATCTGTCAGGAGGATTTGAGGAGAAAAGCAGGTTCTTAAAACTTTAGTGGTGCCGAAAACATAAGAGAAGACTCGCGTGACAACGTGTGCGTCTCTGTTGTCCTGAGATAATCCTCTGCTTCCATCTGCTGGAGAAAACCGAGAGTTCATCCTCATCGACGGCAACGCGCTCAATGTTGTATTCTTTTATTCTTCTGTGATATTTAGTTCTAATCAGACTCAACCAACAGAATGAAAACCTTCTGGCTGATGATCACCTCACTTCCAGAGGAGCTAATGGACAAAAGCCTCAGTGTATTATAATGAGTATGTTTTCTGAGACAAAGACTTTCTTGTGTGTAGGAAAGCCAGTAATGTTCCAGTGGGATAGTTTGCCCTTGTTTCCCTTCTCTGGTTTTCGAATTGGTCTCCTGTGTGTTTCCAGTTCTCCGACTCTCTCCGACACTTCGGGGACTTTTAAAACTTCGTCTCCTGATGAGGAAATAAAAACACTGTGGTGGAAGGAAGTGGAGCTCAGCCGTAGACGGTGGTGTGTTTGCCAGTTGGCCCCAATCACTGGTGATCAGTGCTGATAGATCACTGGAGTAGAGCCGGCTGCATGAATCAGGGGAATAGATCCCTTGTTATCAACGCCACTACCTGCTTCAGCAACAAAAGATCCTGAGCCCTGAGTACGAGATAGAAAACCTAATAAGGCTGCGAATAAGACAATAAGGAGTCAAGCTGAATGTGTAGTGTCATATTATATAAGAAATCTGGCTAAATATGTACATTATTATACAAGAATTCATGCTGAATTATGTTGTGTACGTACGATAACGAATCGTATCGACGTGATGCTGTAGTTCACCAAACCTCATTTCCCAGCAATTTCCTGTCCAGACTGCATGGACGTGACTGACCCGATATTCTCTGTCCTTTCCTTCCATTAACTACAGTTAAAATGATCCATAAGCCACCCGTTTGGATGTGAAAGTGAATATTTATTCAGTTTTGTTATCGCTAGCAGTTCTTTAAAGCCTCCTTTCGTTCGTTTCATGTTACATTACAATACAATGCAACTAAATCCAAACGATTTCACTGAACATTATTCTGAAATATATGCAGCGTGGGGCGCGAAGTCAAATATTGAATGTGGTTGTTGTAGTTTTAAAAAGAACTACCTGGAACTGCTGTGAGTGTGATGCCATAAATCATATTCCCACGTCCACTTTATCCATTTTGTCACATTTTCTAATGTTTTTTTACTGTTAAATTTAATACACAATTCCGGCCAGTACAGTCATTTATCGTTAGTCATTTCACAATAATTTACTGTGAGTGTACAATACATTACTGTGAAAGTTACTTCATTTGCAGCCGGTAATTTACGTTGAATTTACAGTCAATGTAGTTCTTTAGCAGTGAGAAGTTTTCTTTTCATTTTCATCAAAATTTCCTACAACTAAATGAAGACAAAACTGAGATCATTGTATTTGGTGCTAAAGAAAGGTTTAAAGTAACCCAACACCTTCACTCTCTGTCCGTGAAAACATCAAATGAAGCCAGAAATCTGGGGGTTATTATGGATTCAGATTTACACTTGGAGAGTCACATCACATCAGTAACACAATCGGCCTACTGCCACCTCAAAAATGTAGCACGACTTAGAGGCCTCATGTCAGCTCAAGACTTAGAAACACTTGTACGTGTCTTTATAACCAGTAGGCTGGACTATTGTAATGGTCTCCTTGCAGGTCTTCCAAAAAAAACTGTCAGGCAGCTCCAGCTTGTTCAGAACGCTGCTGCTAGAGTTCTAACAAAGACCAAAACATGTGAGCACATTACACCAATTCTTAAATCCTTACATTGGCTCCCAGTATGTCAGAGAATTCATTTCAAAATCCTACTGCTCACATATAAATCACTACATGGTTTAGGGCCAAAGTATATCACTGATATGCTTCCACTACATAAGCCTTCAAGATCACTAAGATTTCTGACACCAATCTGTTAGTGATTCCCAGAGTAAATACAAATCATGGGAAAGCATCATTTAGTTACTACGCAACAAACAGCTGGAATAAACTTCCTGAAGATTTAAGACTTTAAGCCCCAACTCTGACCACGTTTAAAACAAGACTGAAAACTTTTATGTTCAGCTTCGCCTTCTGCTAAATTTGACCTACATTGCACTTTAACCTCTGCTTTTAATTAAACAATTTAAATAAGATTTTAATTTATAATTGTATTTGCTGTTTTTAATTGTCTTTTAATTCCTGCATTTAATTCACTTTATTGTATGAAATGTTATGATGTGAAGCACTTTGAGTCTTTGTGCCTTGCCTTCATTGATTTTTTTCAGAAACACTGTTCTTTCACCATTTGAACGCATTGAACTCGCCCCCTCAATTGGTTTCACCCATTGCCTCCTTCTGCAAAGAGTATTTTTTCATAATATCAATCATTTCTTTATTTTGGGTCATTACATTGACTTCCATCCATTTCCTCAATAATTACTCTAACAATAACCAGCCCATATCCCACATAACTAAACTCTCACCAATATACCAACCTTAAAATAAGTCCTCATCCCATTCAGTGTGTTGCACAATAACTACAGTTACAACAATAAAACGGGAATATTTGATTAACATGTCAGAGCAGAGAGCACCTTTTCAATCGTTGACAAAATGATTGTGTGCATGTGATTTATTCATAATCAGAATCTAGAACGTTTCATTCTCATCTTGTTTCTGTAATGATGTCCGAAGGCCACCAGAGGTCACTGCTCGTCAGTAATGGAACGCAACCATCATACATGCACACGTGTTTACATGTACACACGTACCAGACGGCAGAGAGATACTATATTATAATAATTATGATATTAATCATATTCATAACAGTGGCAGTAATAACAATGATAACTATATACGTTTTCTATGATGATTATTATCATTATAATTATAAAGGCACGTAGTGGATAATGTACATCCCAACGCATCGCTTTGTGTCATTAACGTGTGATATTGTGTTAACTCTGGGTGAAGCCCCCTCCTCTCCCCGTAAACCGCTCCAAATTTGTCCCGCGCGTTCCCGCTCTCTGATTGGTCGGCTCTCTGATTGGCCCGCTCTCTGATTGGCTGCAGAAGTCGCGTCCTCGGGCGGTCGGTCCGCGCAGCTGCTTTCTGTTGCCCGCGGCTGAGATCCGGACGTCGACCCGCTGCCGGGGGCGACGTGGATGTATTGATATACGTGTGTTTGTGATACTCCGGGTTCTTTGCATTGATCCGCGTGAGTAAACACTTGGTTCCGCTTCGCTTTCCTCCTCCTTCGCTTTCGCGGCTGTGCGCGTGTCCCCGAGCCGCGTGCGCGCGGACTGTCACCGAGGAGCCCGCAGCCTCACGTGCTTATTTAGGACGCGTCGTCCCGGTCTTTGCTCCGTTAGTCGAAGTCTTCCTCGCTCGCTTTGTTACAGTCGACTTGAGGCAGACGCGTCTCTCCGCGGGGGGTGTTAGTCTTATTCAGGGGGTTTTATTTTAGATTTTTATTCTGATTATTATTCTACTTATTATTCTGGATTTTATTCTGGTTATTCTTTTAGGTTTTTATTATTATTAAGGTTATTATTCAGTTTATTATTCCAGGTTTTTATTCTGGTTATTATTCTGATTATTATTCCAGGTATTTTACTGGTTGTTATTCTGGTTGCTATTCTAGGTTATTATTCTGCGTATTGTTCTGGTTATCATTGGGAGTTTACCTTTTACGTCGGGGTGAATACATGTGGATTTATCATCATCTCACAGTAAGTGTGAACATTTTGATACTTCTTCGCTTTTCTGCACCTGTTAAAATGTCAAATTAATGTCATATATTCATATAATCTTCACGCTGACTTTTTACTTCAAGTTGAGTTCACCATATCTGTGAAAAACTGTAATAACATGTTATGGCATCAGCAAAGTTCTCCAATGTATTTTTAATCTGTTAAAAATACACACAGTTCTTTCACATAGTACAATGTGGTATTACCAACCGTTATAGTTTAGCAGTCTCTCCTTCTTAAATAACTTTTTAACCATAATTTACAGCCTCTGGCTTCGTGCGATGATTTTTGTTAATCTAAGGAATGAATATTGTTCTCTCAGTGCGATAAAGGTGAATGTTCGGTGTTTGGACATCAATCAAGCATGCGGCCCTTTTGCAGTGAGCGCGTAGCAGTTTGACCGGATCAAAGTAGTGAAATCAGATCCCGTGAGGTTCAGAGAAGAGTTCGTGTGGCGTAAAGAGAGACGTGTGGACAGGTGGGCCGAATAAATCTGCAGAGAAATCTTTGTCTCCAATCGGTGTGAAGAGCTTTTTGGTTTCTGACCGCTGCAAAACCTTCTGAGACCCAAATAAGGTTCACAGGGAAAAATCCACCCAGAAGAATGAGGTTATGAGCATCCTTCACTTCCCTTCTAACTTTGGCCTTTTGGATTTTGCAACATCTGCACAGGTATTAAATATCTAAAAAGAACTTCATGACTGTGTTTTGTTCGGAGGAATCCGACTGTACGGCTCGTATTCCTCTAATAGGGAATAATGGGATTACGTCTCTTGAGTCTCACGTTTTCACGTCGATGATCAACAGCTGTCAGCCCCCGATAGTAAATCACGCTTTTTATCCTTTCGCGCTAGCAGCTATTTTGGCAGCAATAAAAAATAAAAAACTAGAAAAAGACACATCGAAAAATGATGACTGTGGCTGTATAAGTTTTGGAATAAATCAGAATCAGTTTTGATGTATGAAAGATTTAAAGACTGATTGAAATGACCCTTGGAGGTGATGTACCAGCTGTCACCATTCAACACGTAACTTCATGTGTGTCTCCTTTCAGATAAAAGAGGCCGACTGTTTGTCCTCCCGATGGAGCTTCTCTGGGTGGTGCTGCTGCTGGAGGTGGTGCTCATGTCCTCTGCTGCCAGAAGTGAGTAACACGAATGCCCAAAGTGGAGATGAAACCCTTCTGCAGCGCTTCTGCTCGTCTCCGTCACACCGCTGAGGAGGGTTTGTTTGGGACGTGCTGGCCTCAGCTCCTCCACCTTCTCCTCCACCTTCTCCTCTTTCCTGTCCCCTGGTGTGTGGGACGGCTTCATTGATGTGCTTTGTAAACGTCTCACTTTTCCTCGGCGAACGTGTTTGGCTCTGCGTGACCCTTTGACTGTTATTCAGATAGTGGCGTCCTTGTGCTCAAAGCACCTTTTATTATTTTAACTCAAAACGTGGAGGTAACGGAGTGCGACACGGCGCAGCACCCTCAGTGCTGCAGACGGTCCTCCGCCACGTTTCCTTCAGTGGAACCAAAGATGACCTCGTTCCGGGGAGTCGGCGCCCCGCGCCACCGAGATCACGCGCGATGATGAGTTTTTCCGGGGGAAACAAAGCTGCATTCAGCGAGGCGAAGCCGCAGACACACGGGGCCGAAGGTAAACACCGACTCATAGACCGCAAGGAGATGAGATTAGCCTGTGAGGGATGTTTGCTGTGCAATGCTGCAGCGGGCGCCCCCCCCCCCTCGCCGCCTGCACTCTGTCGATGAAGCCAGGGCGCCTCGCCGAGAGTCAAGGTCAAGGATCATAAACTACTGACTTTTATTGCTCATCGCTTTATTGGTAAATTTGCATTGGGTTTATTAAATCAGCAGACTCATTCTTATAGTCTACTGGACTGGATCGGAACAATAGAACGAGACTTGATGAGCAGATACCGGGGGGGGGGCCCAATCGTTCTACAAAAGATCGCGTCCCCCTTGTGCGACCTCGGAGTCGACGTGGACGTGAGGAGAAAACGAGCAGGTGGAGGACGGAGGGACAAAGACGGGCGAAGTGAGGAAAAAAGGAAAGGACAACGGCAGAGAAGAGAGAGAGCAGGAAGCAGACGGAGATAAGGCTCGAGATAGAGACGCAGCGCAGGTGTGTGTGTGTGTGTGTGTGTGTGTGTGCGTGTGTGTGTGTGCGTGTGCGTGTGCATGTGTGTGTTTGGGGGAGCAGAGATTGAGCAGCTGAGAGACTCGTGTTCTTCCCCGTTAGCTGGACATCATCCAGCTGATGTTGGGGTCAAAGGCTAGCAGCGTGCAATGCATGCTGGGGAAGTGAGTTTGTGCCAACGTCCAAACGCTTTCATCGTGCCGCACGAGACACGAGACCAACCGCCGTCCATCCGTTGTTGACCCAACGTAAAGAGACGACAAACGAACGCACGCGAAAATGCATCTTCATCATGGAGAAGCTGGTGGGGCACCAAGGGAAGACCCCGCACACTCATTACTGAGGAATGTAATTAGCACGCTAACGCTAACTGTGATGGTCAAACAGGGAGGAGGAGGTGGAGGAGGAGGAGGAGGTGATCCATGACTTACAGGGTTAATCTTTAATGAACTTCAACCTCGCCCCCCCACTGTGTTCAGCGTTGATTAACCATGATGATGCATCAAACAGAGCAAACGCCTCCACGTACCACAGACAGATGCTTCAAGCGCACACCTTCACCTCCCTGTCGCACTAACAGACACACACTATAGAACCCCCCCCTACACACACACACACACACACACACCAACCCCCTCACAGTTTTACGGGGCCCGTTACTGCTAAAGTCTATTCGCCCTCATTTAGATAAAGTCAATGTTTGCTTTGACTTTGCTAATGGCGGCGGGAAGGGGGCGCGGGGGGGGGGTAATGGGCCTGTCTGCTCGCTCCGCGGGGGGGAGTTCGGGGGGGGGTCAAGGGGGGTCGGCACCGTGTCACGTGAAGGCGGGGTGTGTGTTTGCAGAAGAAGTGCGGCCGGGAGAAAAAAAAACAAGACACAAAGTGTGAATTTCAAAATGGAACCCGAACAAAAAGTTTGATGCAAATGAAGCTCGAGGCCTCGTCAGTGTTTCACGTGTCGTTCGTGTTGTGTAAGAATGTGTAGAGGTTTTTTCGTCGTAGTTTCTCTGTGAGGGTTCCTCCCTTCTCTCTAGCTCTGCAGGGCATTGTGGGTCGTGGCGCCACAGTGCTGCTCGTGGTCTCAGCGGGGTTGGGGTATGGTTGGTCAACGCTACAGCACTGCGGGTCAAAAGTCAGCCAGTGGATGTGGGAGGGGTCATGGAGAGTGTGTGTGTGCGAGAGAAGGGGTCAGAGAAAGCGCATGCCAGCACCAGAAGAGACTGATAACACACCAAGAGCGGTTTCTGGATATAAAGCTCAGCGCGTGTTTGCCGCGTGTTTACCGCGTGTTTGTCGCGTGGTTGTCGCGTGTTTACCGCGTGTTTACCGCGTGTTTGCCGCGTGTTGCTATTTGGGTTACATCGAGCAGCAGCTGTGTTTTCTAATGTTCACCACAATCACTCTATGACTTTAATTCAGTATTTGGATGAACCTCTCTGCAGTAATGACGGCGCACGTGTTGTAAGGAGGAGGATTTATCAAAAGAAAATAACTGAAACTACAACAATGTGTATGAACTTTGCTGCCAAAGGTCAGGAACTATCTTTGTCTCTGTCCTCGGGGGGGCGTCTCCCCGAGTGTCTCCCTGCTAATTGTCTCCGTGCTTTTACATCGTCTCTGTCACTTTCTATCTCGCTCTCTGACACTTTAATTCATCCGCCACTTTCTTTGTCTCTCCCTCTTGTCTTCCTTTCAATCAGAGCTTTTCAAACCTCTTTAACCGCCAACAACCAACCAACCACACGCACACACACACACACACACACACACACTCCAGCTGTTATTCCTGATGGCGTGTTACAAATGAGATGTTGAAAGCTGATCGCTGGGACGGGAGACACAGACCCTTGTTTTCTTTGGGCTTCGCTCTGTCACATTGTGTCTCGTGGGGCTGGTCTGTGTGTGTGTGTGTGTGTCTGTGTCCGTGTGTGTGTGTGTGTGCGTGCGTGATAGACAGGGGGACAGGAACACAAAGGCTACCTCAATCCAAAAATACCACCGTCGTGACCTCAGTCTCAAATGTGATTGACATGTCATGGACGGTCGGCCACGCTCTCCCCCCCCTGTTTGTTTATCAGTCATACGGACGACCTTCGACCCCAGGAAGTGGAGGCCCATCGGGGGGCAGGATGTCAAGGCAGGCGGCTTTAGGAAATTCTTTCGCTAAGCTGTAGCTGTAGATTCTGCCTCCGACGGGTGGAGCGCGTTCGGGTGGAGCTGAAGGTGCAGACGGGCCAGCTGTCGATGTGGAATCCACACGGGGGGGATTGTGAGAGACGTGGGGGGGGGGGGGACGTGCACGCTGTGACTTCACGTCCGTTTCGGCGCGTTGGTTCGTTTCGATGTGTGGAAATGTCTCAGGAGGAGACAAACCGACCTGTTCGCCGCTCCCTCCTGCAGGGGGAGGGACTCCTGACGGGACGTCAACAACGGCCTCTCCGGGAGGTGATCGTCGGCCCTGACCTCGCTTGTCTCAGCTCGCCACAGAAGACTTTGAAAATCATTCAACGTAAGAAAAAAGAAAAATGTCTACGTGAAGATGGAAGCGAAAGGCCCAGAAGTCCAGAAGCCTCGAGCCTCGTGTTCGGACACAAAGTGGCACAACCGTTTCAGGATCAGGATGCTGATTATTATTCATCATTTTCCACAGCGCGAGTGGCATTTCTCCCGTTTCCCACAAAGTGTCCGTGTCCGCACAAAGACGTGTGTGTGCAGTGGGTTGGAGGTGACGCGTGAACACCGCACTACACGGGCCTCCTTCACGTCGGGCGGCTCAGCGCACTTATGATCCGGAGGTAATCCGTCTCTTGTGTGGGCTCCATCGTCACACAGGGACACAACAGGCCTTTTCTTCCACGCGTAATTAACAGAGGTACTTACGCGCTGCTTTCTGGGATTTAAGCGTTGTGTTGTCGCAGCTTTAGGCTGCGGTGGTGAAATGGGGGGGCGGGGGGGGGGCTCTGTATGTGGCTCTCGGTGCTTTCACGGTGTTCACCGTGCTGACGTGGTTTTATTTCAGTGAAAGCCACGTAACTCCTCATGGGGCGGGAACAACGGGCCCGTTACGGGACACTTTCAGGTAATTGAGTGGGTTCATATGTGGTGAATTAAACTAAAATGGAAACCATGAGATAGATGGATGGATAGATAAGTACTTATTGATCCCCGAGGGGAAATTCAATCCTTCAGTTTCATCCTTCAAATAAATGGTTTTCACGAGACAGCTACTGGCCGGGCATCTCTGAAGACACTCAACATGGAGCCGTCAGAGCAAAGCAATACAGGTTAGGAACACGCAATATCGCACATACACAACTATCCCTCACCTCTCTCACACACACACACACGCACACACACACACGGTAGCCTGAAAGGAGACAGTGACCTGAGCTGAACAAATGGATTTAGTCACGGCTGAGGATTGGTGTGGAATGTGTATGTGTGTGTTAACGCTCGTCTGACTCTCCACCAAGTGAAGCAGAAAACACACATGTGGAGGAGGAAGAAGAAATACAGGAATAGAAAAGAAAGTCAAAATATTGGGTAAAATAATATTATGTCAAAAGATGTCAAATGGAAAAAGAATAGATGTTCTACAAATGTGGTGGGGAAAAAAGGTTCAAAAATATTCGGTGAAAAGGTGTGGTATTTTTTTCAAAAATGTCATCAGAAAAAATATATATATATTTGGCCAAAAAATGTCCAGAATTTTTTTTTCAAAAAATGTCAAAAGATTGGTCGAGAAAGGTCATGGAAAAAAGGTAATGGAAAAAGGTTTTTAAAAATGTTGTGAGAAAAAATAACAATACTATTTGGTGAAAAAGTAAAGAAAATAATCAGAGAAAAATATGGTTTTATAGAAATGTCATCGAAAAAAAGTGTGTTTTTTCCAAAAATGTCAATTGAATGAAACTAGTCATGAAAATGAGATCTAGGAAAGATGTAACGTGAATTTAAAAAAAAAATTGGTGAAAATATGTAAGTCAAAAATGTATAAAATGTCATGGAAAAAAAATCCCACAGAAATGTGTAATTTAAAATATAGTCCTCAATTCCTCCTGATTTTGGATTAATTTATTCAAAACTCCCATGTAGAATATAATTCCACCTGGGTAACAGCGTCTCATTTGATGAATTTCAGGTCATAAAGAAAATCCGTCCGCTTGAAAAACAAGTTTTTCGTCCAACATCCATGTGGCTATATTAGAATGTGGGACTGGGGGGGGGGCGGAGCTCGGGGGCTGTGGGCGCGGAATCGATCACGCCACTCACCTTAAATGAATGAGCACATGTCTAATGAAAAGCACTGACTTTTGCTCGCAGCGATCAACGAGTCTCGATTCCACTCAACAGGTGTTCGTCCTTCCAGGGTCGACCCGGTTTATCTCTTATCTGCTTAACTGAAGCGTTTTATAAAGCCGCCTCTCTCTCGCCGCGTCTCCATCTTTAAATGCGGTATGTCAATATAAAGGAAGCAAATATTCACATCTTTATCACCCGACTGCGTGTGTGCGTGTGTGTGTGTGTGTGTGTGCGTGTGTGTGTGTGTGTGTTATCACTGTTGTTAATGGGTAACGGCGTCTGCCTCCAGCAGGCTGATTAAAGTCGGGTCGAGGACACCGGCCAGCTTCACACACACGAGCACACAAACAATCACGCACACTCGGGAGTGTTAACTGTTCCTTATC